TGATGCCATCTCTTCAAATTCCTGCGCCGCGCTCGCCTGGTCGTACTCACCACTTCATCAAGGACAACGATTCCTCGCTGAGCGGCTTGAACATCTCCGCCTGCAGCCGACAATAGCCTTGCCACGATATTTTCGGCATCTTCGCCAACGTAACCCGCTTGGGTCAAAGGAGTTGCGTCCACGTGCACGAAGGGCAGTTGTAGTGCTCGAGCTAAGGTGGAGAGCAGCAGTGTCTTGCCGGAGCCAGATGGGCCCAGAAGCAGGACGTTCGGTCGCGGTAATCTGGGCTTGTCATCTGCACTGGAGACAATTCCGACGCTCGAAGTAGTGCGGGCAAGGCCGCGATTCCTCGCGTGACTCGAGCCGGAAGTGGACGAGTTGGCTCTTGAAGCTGAAGGAGAAGCCGAATCTGCAGGCGTTCGTGTCCACTCAAGTTGTCGCTGAGCTCGCATGTCACTTTCCGACAGATTCGAGTTGAAAAAGCTTTGGCTGCTGCCTGATGCATGAGCCTCTGGTCTGCCATCACCAGCATCGTCTGAGTCGAGTGTACGGAAGGCTAAGAGTGAGCTCACAAAGTCTTGCACGTCTCTTTGCCTGGCTCCATGCGTCCCATGTCTGATCTCAAAAAGCGTGGAAGCACTTACCTTGGGGATATCCATCCACATAGCGACGCCCCTTGGCTTGACCAGCCCAGTCGGTCAAGATGTCTTCTTCGTGTCTGAATCCTGGCCCCGTCTCGTGCTCTGGCGGACCATCGGGATGGAGAGACCGCGATTTACGCGGCCTGGTGCGATAGCCCGAGGCGCCTGTGGGTAAGCCTCTGTTTGCAAAAGGGATTTGCCTCTTCACCTCCTTCGACGCGCTTCCAGGCACATTATCTGTACCTTCCTCCTCAGATATCTCGCCTTTGCGCTGCTCCTCCCACTTTTGCGCATCCTCTATCCTGCATCTGAGCAAGTGGTTGTGCACAGCTACGCAGAGCGTCCTTTTGGCAGTGGCTTGACCAATGACGTACGCGTCTAGATGAGCCATGAGCTGCTTGGGAGTAGGAATGGGACCTTGATCGGAGGCTATGGACGCTAGCGCATCTTTGGAGGAGATGGTGCGAGAGCGAGAAGGTGTGGCAGAGTTTGAAGAGAAGCGAGCTCCCAGAGGCGGCAGAGGTGAAGAGCGGGGCCTGCTGTTTGGTGTGCAAGGTGTAGATGTGGTGCGGGAATGCTTGCCCTGCCTGTGGGATGCGCGTGGCGAGTTGGCGACCAAGTATGGAGAAGCGCAAGAGAAGGCCGCCTGGAGCCCTCTCGAGTGACCACTCGCAGTCAGCGGTCGCACCGCTGGTCCAAGCATCTCCTACGAGTAGATATGTCCACCTCGAGACTGCGACGCAAAGACCCGCGGCGATGCGTGCCGCGACAAAGCGACTTTGGAGTCGCCGCTACAGGCTACGTCTGCACGCGGTAGTCGAGGTGCTCGTCTGCTATAAGATCTGCTCCTGCTTAGTCACGTAATCCGGGGCATCAAGTTGTGCAGAGCGTGAGCATAGGCACCATGGAGCGTGCAACTGGAAAGTGCAAGCATGCGCAAAGGCCTGGTGGTCGGGACCCTGTCGCAGAGGATTCGAAAGACTGGGATGATGCTCTGCGGCCACGGAGATCGAATCAGAGCGATAGTGCCCGTCTGCAGCTGGTAGTCACAAAGGGCAGTCAGTGAGCGACGGACGGCGGATGGCTCACAATCGTGAATAGGAGTCGCGAGTTTGTGGAGCGTGCGATGAGAGAGCGAAGCGCAAGCACACATG